AGCGCTGCTGGGTGTATGCTCGGCTGTTATGTGATTTTGCTATTATGCGATTTTACCACACTCGCAAAATCGCACACAGCCGACCATATAACAAACTCTGTATTTTGAGTGGAAATGTTAGGGGGTCGTCTTATACGCCGAGTCATCTTATACACCGGCAAATACGGTAGCTTAAGAGCGCGAGCTCAGAGCAACAGGGCTACCGGTTCAATTCCCACATGGGCCAGTGATGCTGCGCTTGAGCTGAGCTGCAAACAGGTGGCAGGATGGCTCACCTGGTGAGAGCATGTGCTCCTAACAACAAGACTGCCTATTCAATAGTGGGCTACACCCGCCTGCAATGAAGACTGAACTTGACACTTTGAGCTGAGCTGCCACCCGATGGCTCAGTGGATCGAGAATGCTCTCTTAACAACAAGGCTGCCAGTTCGACCCCCACATGGGATGGTAGCTTCTCCCACCACAACTAAGATTGTAACACACAGCACCTTGAGCTTAGAGGCCATGAGCTACCGAAGGGCAGCCAAATGGCTACTAGCGCCCTCCACAACTAAGATTGAAGAACAACAACTTGGCTGGTTCCCCTCCCAAGTTCCCCAATGCTGTTCCCCTTCCCCAATTCCCCAATGAAAAAATAAAACACTTAGAAAAAATAATAAATAAAATCAGCCAGTTATTGTAAAAAAAAAAAAAGAAGAGGGTGAGGGAGGATTGGGTTGTCGGAAAACTCATGACATATTTTGTCTATGTTTTTCAAAAGTCATTTATTTATATAAAGAACAAACATCAATCAATGATATATTGCCCGTTTTGTTCAATAACCTTTTGCCATCTTTCAGTGAGCTTTATAATTCCTTCTTCATAGACGGACCTGTCTTTATTTGTGAAAAACTGAACAAGGTGCTGATTTACAACCTCATTTGAATTGAACGTTATACCATGCAAGGAGTTTTGAAGAGAGTGAGACAAATAGAAGTCTGACGGTGCAAGGTCAGGCGAGTATGGTGGGTATGGCAACACATCCCATCCAAGCTCCAATAATTTTTGACAGGTGATCAGACTTGTGTGTGGTCTCACGTTGTTTCAATGGAGCACAACTCCTTTACAGTTAACAAGCTCTGGACATTTCTGAGTGATGGATTCATTCAAACTGTCCAATTGCCGACAGTACACATTCGAATTGATTGATTGGCTCCTTGGTAGGAGCTCCAAAAATATGACACCTTTAAAATCCCACCACACTGAGAGCATAACCTTCCTCTGATGAATGTCTGCTTTTGATGTTGTTGGAGGTGAATCATCACGTCGGGACCAAGAC